GGGACCAATTCCAAAATCTGCACAAGAAGTGCAGAGTGTAGTATCAGTACAACCAACCCCATGTACTAGTAAGTGCTAAGCCTAACATCGACGAAGTAGTGACGAGGCTAAGGCGGGTTACTTACATTAACCTGTACGCAATATTAGTAACAACAACAATAATAGAAATAATTCAAGTAACTCATTTATAATAATTGAAGCCAACTCATCAGTCATAACCAATTATCATTTCCATCAATTCTGTTGCAGTATGCAACCCGCTCTTACCATATATTCACACTCAATTCTGTTGCAGCGTGCAACCTGCTCTCACAATATATTCACATTAATCAAATCTGTTGCGGCGTGCAACCCGATCCTCCAATATTGACTTTTAATAAGTCTGTTGCGGCGTGCAACCCGATCCTCCAATATTGACTTTTAATAAGTCTGTTGTGGCGTGCAACCCGATCCTCCAATATATTCATTATAATCAATCCTGTTGCGGCGTGCAACTCGCTCCTCCAACATTTTCATTTACCAATTCTTATAGAAGAAATTTTCCCAATAAATGTAACAATTAATATAGAATTTCAAGACAACAAGCATACAATAATTATGGTTTAATTATGAAGCAAACAATGACAAATAGCAAATTATTATGGAAATCAGGGAGCAAATAGGCAGTTTAATATTTAGTATGCTAAATGTCAAATAACAATTAAGGCACATAATTAAAATAGCATGTAACAATTAATGCAGGAATTCAAGAATTTATATTTGCAAAGAATGAGAGAGAAATAATTATTATAATAATTAATTTATGAGTAAAAATAATTTATGATTTTTCAAGTAAGTAGGCAAACAATTAATTTGACGACGTCTAGACACTCGTCACCTCACCTATACGCCGTTTACATGCAATTCATATAACAAACAATTTAAGGGTTCTATTCCCTCAAGTCAAGGTTAACCCCGACACTTACCTCGCTTTGCAATTTATAATCAATTATTCGACCACAACTTTTCCTTTTAAATTTGCCTCCGAAAGCTTCAAATCTATTCACAAACAATTCAATATATTCAATACTAATCATAGGAATTTATTCCATATGAATTTATAAATTTTCCGCATAAAAATCCGAAATTCATTAAAATATTTGGCAGTGGGACCCACGTCTCAAATTTTGGAAACACTCACGAAATCCGAACACCCGTTCCGATATGAGTTCATCCATACCAAATTTGTCCAATTCCGATATTAAATGGACCTTCAAATCTTAAATTTTTATTTTTGGAAGATTTTATAAAAATTTAATTTTTCTTCCATAAATTCACGGATTCATGATATAAATGAGTATGAAATCATGAAATATAATCAGTATAGGATAAGGAACATTTACCCCAATATTTTTCCGTGAAAATCGCCCAAAACTCGCCTTACTCGAGCTCAAAAATGGGAAAGAATTGAAAATGGGTCGAAACCCCATTTTCAGAACTTAAGTTCTATTTCTCGGATTTTTACCCTTCACGAACGTGGTCAGTGCCTCGCATTCGCGAAGCACATTTTTGTGCTGCCAAAACTTTACTCTTCGCGAACGCGAAGGCAATATCGCGAACGCAAAGCCTTGCCAAATTTGGCCTTCGTTAACGCGATACACCCTACGCGAACGCGAAGCTTTAACGCTTGGTGCCCGGCCAGGCCTCGCCTTCTACCCGAACGCGAACGCTTCCACGCGTTCGCGATGAGCACTGCCATCTTCCCTTCGCGAACGCGTCCCCCTCTTCGTGAACGCGAGGTGTAAATTTTACCTGCCTCCAGTTTCTTCTTCGCGAACGCGAGCCACCTCTCGCGAATGCGAAGAAGGATACCACAAGCAGATTTCTGCAGTTTTTCCCAAGTCCAAAAATGGTCCGTTAACCACCCGAAATCAACCTGAGCCCTCGGGACTCCAAACCAAACATGCACCCAAGTCCTAAAACATCATACGAACTTACTCGCACGATCGAATTGCCAATATAACACTTAGAACTACGAATCGGACACCAAATCAAAGGAAGTTTTCAAGAAAACTTTATAACTTATAATTTTACAACCGGACGTCCGAATCACGTCAAATCAACTCCGATTCTCACCAAATTTGGAAGACACATCATAAATATTATAGTGGACCTATACCGAACATCGAAACCAAAATACGGACCCGAGGTAAATAAATCCAACATCAGTAATTTCTTAAAAATCAATAAGCTTTCAAGCTTTTAGTTTTTTCTCAAAATTCCATAACTCGGGCTAGGGACCTCGGAATTTGATTCCAGGCATACGTCTAAGTCCCAAATCACGATACGGGCTTACCAAAATTTTCAAAATACTGATCCGGTTTCGTTTTCTCAAAATGTTGACCAAAGTCAACTTAGTTGAGTTTTGAAGCTCTATTTCCCATTTTAATCCATTTTTCACATAAAAACTTTTCTGGAAAATTGTACGGACTGCGCACGCAAGTAGAGGAATGATAAATGGTGCTTTTTGAGGTCTAAGAACATAGAATTACTTATTAAATTTAAAGATAATATTTTGGGTCATCACATTCTTTACCTCTAAAACAAACGTTCGTCCTAGAATGAAGTTAGAAAAAAAATGTACCTGAGCTGAAGAAAAGGTGTGAATATTTACTCCGCATGTCCGACTTGGACTCCCAGGTAGCTGCCTCTATCGGCTGACCTCTCCATTGCACCCGAACTGAAGGATAACTCTTTGACCTCAACTGTCGGACCTGCCGGGCGAGAATAGCCACCGGCTCCTCCTCGTAAGTCAAATCTTTGTCCAATTGGACTGAGCTGAAATCTAACACATGGGACGGATCACCATGATATTTTCGGAGCATAGACATATGGAACACCGGATGAACCACTGATAAACTAGGTGGTAATGCAAGCCTGTAGGCTACTTCACCCACCCTTTCAAGAATTTCAAAGGGTCCGAGATACCTAGGGCTCAACTTGCCTTCTTTCCAAACCTCATTACATCTTTCATAGGTGAAACCCGGAGCAATATTCATTCTCCAACCATGAATGCAATATCACGAACTTTACGGTCGGCATAAATCTTTTGCCTAGACTGAGCTGTGCGAAGTCGATCCTGAATAATCTTGACCTTATCCAAGGCATCCTGTACCAAATCGGTACCCAACAACCGAGCCTCTCCCGGTTCAAACCAACCAACTGGAGATCGGCATCACCTTCCGTATAATGCCTCATATGGAGTACGGTGGTACTGTTGTACAAGAACAAAGGTGATATCCAGTGTTGTAACAACTATAGGGGTATGAAGTTACTTAGTCATACCATGAAAGTTTGGGAGAGGGTGGTGGAAGTAAGGGTGATGAGGACTGTGTCTATATCTGACAACCAGTTTGGGTTCATGCCGCGTCGATCAACTACAGAAACTATCCACCTTATTAGGAGGTTGGTGGAACATTACAGGGATATGAAGAAATATATGCACATGGTGTTTATTGACCTGGAGAAAGCATACGACAAGGTCCCTATGGAGGTTCTCTGGAGATGCCTGGAGGCAAAAAGTGTGTTGCTAGCTTACATTAGGGCGATCAAGGACATGTATGATGGATCTAAGACTCGTATTAGGACAGTAGGAGGCGACTCAGAGCATTTCCCAATTGTTATGGGGTTACATCAAGGATCTGCGCTCAGCCCGTTCTTATTTGCCCTGGTGATGGACACACTAACACACCACATTCAAGGGGAGGTGCCATGGTGTATGTTATTCGTTGACGACATAGTCTGATTGATGAGACGTGAGGTGGTTTTAACGATATGCAGGAGGTTTGGAGGTGCACCCTTGAGTCTAAGGGTTTCAAGTTGAGCATGACCAAGATAGAATATATGGAATGCAAGTTCAGCATCGAGTCGAAGGAAGTGGGTATGGACGTGAGGCTTGGAGCACAAGTCATCCCCAAGAGAAGTAGTTTTAAGTACCTGGGTCGATTATCCAGGGGGACGGGGAGATTGATGAGGACGTCACACACCGTATAGGGGTGGGGTGTATAAAATAGAGGTTAGCATCAGGAGTCCTATGTTACAAGAGAGTACCACCGTTAATCAAAGGTAAGTTCTATAGAGTTGTGGTTAGACCAACCATATTATATGGGGCAGAGTGTTGGCCAGTTAAAAACTCTCATATCCAGAAGATGAAAGTGGTATAGATGAAGATGTTGAGGTGGATGTGCAGGCATACTAGGATGGATAAGATTAAGAATGAAGTTATTCGGGAGAAGGTGGAAGTGGCTCCTATGGATGACAAGATGCAGAAAGCGAGGCTCAGATGATTTGGGCACGTACGGAGGAGGATCCCTGATGCTATGGTGAGGAGGTGCGATAGTTTGGCCCTGGCAGGGACGGGAAGAGGTAGAGGACGACCTAAGAAGTATTGTAGAGAAGTGATTAGACAGGACATGGCGTTGCTGCAGATTTTCGAGGACATGACCCTTGATAGGACAGTGTGGAGGTCGAGCATTAGAGTTGTAGGTTAGGACGTAGTCGAGTCCAAGGGTGAGGCTAATTCGATATGGGTGGTCTTAGACTGATGGGGTTTATGTTGTGTTCTCCCTATCCTTATGTTTGCATAGCATCAAGCTTATTTTCCGGTTTTGTTATTGCATTAGAACTATTTTCTAGTTCTTGGGATGCGAATATTATTTCTTTGGTTTCTGTTTGATGGTACTAATATATTGTCCCTTCCCTTCTCTTCTTGTATTTTCCGTCTTCTCGAGCCGGGGGTCTTTCGAAAATAACCTCTCTACTCCTTCGGGGTAGGGGTAAGGTCTGCGTACACACTACTCTCCCTAGACCCCACTTGTGGGATTTTACTGGGTCGTTACTGTTGTTGTTATAAACAAAAGAAACATAAAGTTAATTCATATAGTTAAGTGATCATTTGAGTAATGAGCTCGGAGTTGTCTTTTTGGGAGTGTTTAAATGTCAATGAAGTGTTTGTGAAGTTATACATCAAATAAGGAAATATTTACCCACAAAGTGCTAAAAATAGCTTGAATACATTTACATATACTTCAAATAAATTTAATGATCATAATTCCTATCACATTTAGATAAAGTTTCTTTGATCAACTGCAACTCTTTAACAACATCACTGATACCCATTCTTTCTTTTGGTGATTCCATGGTGCAAGCAATCCCAATTTTACACATAGAAATTAAGCACTCTGTAATGTAATCTTTGGTTTTCCTTTCAGAAATACTGGTTGTCTCCTCTTCTTGCATGTTGTGGAAAAGCATTGGATCAACAATTTCCATTACTCTACCAGCAGAGAAAGCCATGTTAACATAGTTGTGAAGGTTCAGTCCATTTGAAAAGGTGTCGTCTGTCGGCTTTTTCTCTGTAATAATCTCCAGTATGATAATGCCATAGCTGTATATATCCCCATAAGTTGACACTTCACTTCCCATTCCATATTCTGCATATTTCATTAAGATCATATCAAAGACAGCCACTTCGTAATTATTGCCTAAGTGTGTCCCAGAAAATCAAGGGAAAACTACAGTGTTAAGCCGCTCCCAAAAATAACCAGCAAAATGTATATTAATGTATATTATACATATTTTGTACATAATCGGTGTATATTGTTTGTATATTTGGCTAAGGGTGTGTAAATAATTTTGGCGACCGGTCAAATGTGTGATGAGTTGTGTAAGACTTACAATAAGAATGATTAAAATGGTTACCTGGAGCTGCATAGCCAATTGATCCTTTAATACCAATAGTGCTAGTTTCGCTTGCTGAAGTTTGCTGAGCAGTTTCTTGGAGGAACCTTGACAAACCAAAATCGCCAACACGGGCAGTCATGTCCATGTCTAGTAAGACGTTGCTCGGCTTCAAATCACAATGAACAACTGGTATTTGGCTTCCATTATGAAGATACTCTAGCGCGAAAGCAATATCCATTGCAATGTTTACTCTCTGATAAAAATCTAGATATTGTATGTGCAGACTTCCATCATTGGAAAATGAATGCAGCCAATCGTCCAGGCTACCGTGTACCATGAACTCGTAAATCAGGGCCTTAAAGTCATTGCCCTGAAAATCAATACCTGAACATGCAGTTACTAACTTGACAAGATTTCTATGCCTAAGGTTCTTTAGGACTTCACATTCTGCAATAAAGCTTTTTAAAGCTCCTCTATGCTGCAAATCAAGTACTTTGATAGCGACATTTTTCTCATCTGAACCAAGAATTCCTTTGTATACACAACCAAAACCACCCTTACCAATGAGATTTTCTGAAGAGAATCCATTGGTTGCTTTCAGCAGTTCACCATAGGAGATTTTCAAAAATGAATCATCTGGTAAATAGGGCGAAGCGCTATGTTTCTTCCTCCTTAAAATACAGAAAAGTACGCCTACCAAAACTAGCATTACTCCAAATAAACTACAAGCAACAGAAATAATTATCTTTAGAGTTGGTGATAATCTTCCCTTCTTTGGCATTGAATCTTTACATTGTGGTAGCTTTAGCACTTGAGAACCTCCACAAAGATTTCTGTTTCCGCTGATTATTGCTCCACTTGCATTACTGAAAACTCCCCCTTGGGGTACTTCACCCTCAAAATTATTAAACGACATGTTTAAGCTTTTCAAGGATTAAAAAGTTTCAAAGTACTTAGGAATAACACCAGAGAAATTATTACGTGAAAAGTCCAAATATGCAAGCCCTTTCAAGGAGCTTAAAGACGAAGGGATCACACCTTCAAACATGTTACCTTGAACATAGAGATTTTCCAACCTAATGCAACTTCCTAAAGTGCTAGGTAGTTTTCCAGATAACTTGTTATCGGAGATATCAAGATACCCGAGATTTACTAAACTTCCTATTTCAAGGGGAAGAGTGCCACTTAACTGATTTCCGGGCAGGTCTAGTTGGATTGACAAGGCTGAGATACTAAGGACCTCCTTTGGTATTGCGCCGCTGAGTCTGTTTCGAGAAAGGTACAACATTTGCAACAACTGGCAATTCCCAAGAACTGAAGGAATAGTCCCTTCTAAATTGTTTTGAGCTAGATTAAGTCCATACAAAGATGTTAAGTTTCCAATGGAAGAAGGGATTTTCCCAGAAAGTTTATTTCCATTAACATAGAAATACTTGAGCTTTTGAAGTTTACCAAGACTAACTGGAATTTCCCCTATCAATTGGTTATACTCCAAACTTACTATTTCCATGTTGCTGAGACTTACAAATCCATCAGGTATTCGTCCGAATAGTTTGTTCCTAGCAAAACCAATAGATCTAAACTTGGTTGAGAAGTTGCCAATATTCTTAGGCAACTGGCCTCCTATATTATTCACACTCAAACTCAGTTCTCGAAAACTGGTAATGTTAACCAAGGAAGAAAAGAAATCCATGTCATCTTCTATCCCGGTTCCAAGATTATTGAAATGCATTCCTAGTCCTTGAAGATTATGAAGATTTTCCAGAGAAGGGATTTTCCCGGTCAACTGGTTTCTTGATAATGATATTTTTTCAAGTCTCGTTAAATTAGAAATGGAACTTGGAACCACTCCACTCAATAAGTTCGAGTGCAAATAAAGTAAGCGAAGACCTAGAAGAGTCGATCCAATATCTATGGGAAGACTTCCTTTAAGTTTGTTAACTGGAGCAGCAAAATGATAAAGAGATGATAAGTTAAAGAGTGAAATGGGAATATCACCAGAAATCATATTAGCACCAAGAGAAATATAGCTCAAGTTAGTCAATTGGCCTAACGAATACGGTATACTTCCTTCTAATCTATTCTCTGGTGCTGCTAAGGCAATTAGAGATGAAAGATTACCTAAAGAATATGGCAACTCTCCTGTTAAATTATTTGATCTAAGAAAAAGTACCTGAAGATTTCTTAAATACAAACCAAGCTCCACAGGGATTTTCCCGGTCAGTCTGTTACCATCCAAATCAAGATATATGAGCCTAGAGCAATTTGAAAGTTCCACTGGAATTTCACCATTAAATGAGTTGTTCGCGAGCTCTAAGTTCTGTAACCTGAATAATCTTCCGATTTCCTGTGGTATCTCACCGTTGATGGTGTTATTTCGAAGAGTTAGTTTTCTAAGAAAACTCATATTTCCTATCTGAGGAACTATTGTTCCTACAAGCTGCTTGGAGCTTAAATCCAGCAAAGTCACCCTTTGATGTCGCGTGCTACATGTAACGCCTTGCCAGCTGCAATGATGGAACGAATTGTTCCAAGAATACATAATACCAAAAGGATCATAAGTTATTTGTCCTTTGATGCTGAGAAGGGCTAATCTATCAGTTTCATTTCCAGCAAGTTTGGAAGATGCAACTACAGAAACAACACATAATAAGCAACAAAGCATAAGACAAAGGAAAGCATTAAAAGACTTCATGCCTGCAGCAATAGGTGAGTAGGAAAATTTCAGGAGCAATTCAAGTTATAACAAATAAGTATATAACAAAGCAAGAAGAGACAACTGCCGGCTTGCATGTGGGAGTGCATTTTAAAGCTATGACTTTGAAAACCATAGTTGGCTGATAAAACAGGGCAGGGCAGCATGGTGCACTAAATTTTCGCTATGCGCGGGATGCGGGGAAGGATTGGACCACAAAGGTCTGTACGCCTTACACTGCATTTCCGCAAGAGGTTATTTTCACGGCTCGAACGCGTGACCTCCTAGTCATATGGCACCAACTTGACTTATAAAGAGGGTAATAGTTAAAAAAGCCTTTTAAGTAAGCTGGTAAAAACAACTTTTTAAACTATTTTTATTACAACTACAACGCGTGAAGAAATGTAAACAATTAGTAAGTTACCATAATCTAAGCTTTGATTTGGTCAACTTTGAAACTAAAACATTTCTTAATAATCTTTTCAGCGTGTTTGATGATTGCATGGACTAATAAGATGAGAGGAAGAAACAAGCACTCTAAACAGTCAAACTAAGTCAAACGCTGCTGCTCAAAGTCTTCTTAGGAATGATAGTCTGTCTCATTGACAAACTTTGATTCTCACTAGTGAGAACTGAGAAGTCTGTCTTGTTCTGGTTTTTAACGACAGAGAACGTTCAAATATCTATATAATGTAACGTATTTGCTGTTGTATGTGATGCTGACAGCAGGCAGCGTACGACAGAGGCATTTTCAGGGTTTTAAGAGTACTACCCTATCAATAAGTACATAAAATTTTAAAAGTACATAAATATTACTCCATTAAACACTATGTTTACGTTATACAATAAAAATCAAATAGAAAATTGTAAGTTTTTGAAATTGATTAATGTGATCCTATTTAGCTAACTAAATAAAGGAAAAAATTCGCAAATAACCAAGAACCATAATAAGTTCATGACAATTTTAGAGCAAACTTTAAAATCCAATATAACTTTCTAATTATATTTTCTACGTTGATAGGAGTAATCTTTTAGATGAAGGGTAAAATGAACATTGCACTTTTTATGGTGATGGGGTAATTCAACTTTGATATTTGGAGCTTTGATAGTACAAGGTGTGAATTTGTTTGACATGACAGATGCATTTCCTTCCGGGGGCGGATTTATAGGTAAAAATATGAGGCATGTGAACCTATGGTCTCTCCGTTAAATTAGATATTTTATGTACATATTTTCTAAAATTAGTATAATATTAAATGTTGGCACCCATGCTCAAAGATGATTGAATGTGTACTTGGTTGAAAGTTGAGTTAGTTACGAAAAGGAATAAAGGGATCAATTCTCACTTAATACATTTTCTCTTACTCTTTTTTAGTAGTCACCATGTACTACGAATCCTAGATTTATCTCAGCTTCCTTCAAGATTACTAAAATGTAAGTAAATAACAATTATTTTTAAGTTTTTCTTAAATTTGACATGATAATGTAAAAGAAATTAAGACTACCTATATATGTAGATTGACATTCATTTTTCAAATAAAATTACCATACCAGCAGCAAAGTTCCAAGTCATATGATATTTTTAGTAATATTGAACTTTGTTCCTACAATCAATCTCATACATGTGCTATTGCTTTCTTTTCATGACCGGTTAGTAGAGTTTAACGTAAACATATATAAAGAACGGAAAATGGCCAAAAATGTCATTGAACTATTTGAAATAGCTCAAAAATATCCTTCGTTTGTTTTTGGTACTAAAAACATCCCTACCGTCTATGTTTTTGACCACAAATGCCCTTAAACCGTTAGTCTTGCCATTGAAGGTGACATGACAGTCCAACTAGATTAGATTTGCTTACATGGCCATCCACCTAAGCAATCCAGCCTAGAAAAAATTATTTTTTCAGAATTTGTTTTATTAAAATACAAAATCTACACTTATTCCGAAAAAAGTAAAATAATTCCCGAAAAATTATTTTTTCGAAATTTTTTATTAAAATACAAAATCAACACTTATTCCGAAAAAAGTAAAATAATTCCCGAAAAATTATTTTTTCGAAATTTTTTATTAAAATACAAAATCAACACTTATTCCGAAAAAAGTAAAAAAATTCTAGAAAAATTATTTATTTCAAAATTTTTTATTAAAATACAAAATCAACACTTATTCCGAAAAAAGTAAAAAAATTCTAGAAAAATTATTTATTTCAAAATTTTTTATTAAAATACAAAATCAACACTTATTCCGAAAAAATTAAAAAAAATCCGGAAAAATAAATATTTGGGGGTTATTTATCCGAATTTTTTTTTTATTTTTTTCGGAATAAGTGTTGATTTTATATTTTAATAAAAATTTCTGAAATAAATAATTTTTTCGAAATTTTTTTACTTTCTTCGGAATACATGTTGATTTTGAATTTTAATAAAAAATTTCGAAAAAATATTTCTTCCGTAAAATAATTTTGCCATGCTGGGTTGCTTAGGTGGATGGCCATGTAAGCAAATCTAACCTAGTTGGACTGCCCCTTCCATTTTCTCTCATCTAGGAGGAAATCACAATACACAACATGTTCCTCACACCGATAGAAAATATCCGGCTCAAACTATGGTAGAAACCATCAAGAATACTTTGCAATCAATTTGCATATAACCAAGCTATCAGAACTGAATTCCTCTAACTCGACCAAGCCACGCAAGTCATCAAACCCAAGAATATTGCCACCAAAACATCTGTAGAGCCTCACTACATTATAATTACCCAAAGAACCGAGCTTACCATTACCATGCTGGTCTAGCCTACTACCCAGTTTTCCTATTTTCTCCGAGTTTCTTCTAAATTTCTCTCAAGTTGATACTTCTCCTTGTCAGAACACTACGATCCATACCCAATGCTCACTACGAGACATCCTAACATAAAACGACACCACTCTAAGGCCCATAAGCCACCGTATTCTTCTTAAACACCCACATAAGTACCACAACCAAAATGCCCACTTTGATAATACCTTTTGTGAATTTATAACTGTTCTTTTACTTTTCTTATACTGGAATGTAGAATCCATGGTCATACAGAATTACCGCAAGTCCAGGCACCATCAAATGCAAATCTCAGATTTTATCCATACACAAGTCTGGAGAAATTCTCAATTGCTATACATAATTCTCGAACCCATTAGAACTTTCTCGAGAGTCACCCATTTTGCTCAAATCCAAATTGCACCGCCCGAACGGGCCGAAAGACA